AATTTCCGGAGGATGAGGCCCAGAAACCAGGATTTTAAAAAGATTCCCAGGTGATTCTAATGTGCAGCCAAGGTTGAGAACCACTGCTCTAGACGGACTGGGAACAGAGAGCCGCTTAGCCTGTATGGGAGGTGGAGGGAGCCTTCCTCCACCTGGAGAAAAGTGCCTTTCTGTGGGAGCTGGAGGATGAAAGGTCACCGAAAAGGCACTGGCCAGCTCCAGGCAGAGGCGCCCTCTGTGGGGGAGAGGGGGTGGGGCCTGGAGAGCCTCAGGAGTCACCTTGTAGTTTTAACTCCATCCTGAGGACATCTAGAGGGCACTGAAGGTTTTGAGCAAGGAAAAGCAAGGTCAGGTTTGCATTTTCTAAAGCTCTGCCCTGTCGGGGAGCAGACAGCCTGGAGGCTTGGAGGCCAGCAGAGGCAGGAGAGGTTGTGCAGGCTGGAGGGAGTGAGGTCTGGATGGAGAGAAACCGAGGGTCTGAGAGAGGTGGTGGTGGATTGACAGTCCGTGGTCATCAGCTGGATGTGGGAGCAATGCACAGACCAGAGGGAGGTGTCTGGGAGGATGTTGGTTAAGTTTTAAGCTGTGATTGAGATGGGGCACACGGATGGGTGGGAGTTTCTGTCACTGAGCTGGAGGCGCCTGGGGGACCTGTGCCAGAGGGGCTATAGGAGCTGGGAGAGAGGAGGGGCAGCGGGGCAGGGACGGGAGGGCCTGTCAGGGACATGAGGAGGGGTGCCAGGGGTGGCACTTCCTCTGGAGTCACTGATGACTCTGGGTTTGGCAACTGGGGTGAGAGGGCAGCTGGCAGAGCGTGGGGCAGGGCGGAGGGAGAAGAGGGGAGGGGAAGAGGAGGGGAGGAGATGAGGAAGAGGTTCCAGGTAAGCCAAAGGCTGCTCCCACTCCTCTCCCAAGGCAAGCACTGTTTCTGTTCCCTTTCCAGAACTGTGGCTGGGTAGTGGGGGGTAAAGCTTGGCGAGAGGAGGAGGAAGTAAGCGAGTGGTCATGGAGCTTTCAGTAATAGGGACCCGGTGGATGGAGGGGTTGAGGCTGGGAGCTGAGCCCAGGTGTGTGTGGGAAGAGGGGCTGAGCCTCACCTGGAAGAGGACACTCCTTCCCTTGTGAGAGGGGAGGGAGGAGGGCATGAAGGGGCACGGGAAGGTTTGATTGTTTGAATAAGAGGTGAAAGTGTACCCAACTGCTGGCTTCTGTGTTCTCCAAGTAGATGAGCTCGTTCATCTTCTGAGAAGGGGAGGGAGACACTGAGCTGGGGAGGGGGGAGATCTTAGCAAGGTGGAGAACGTTTAAGTAGGCCTCCTGCATGCCCCTTGCAACTCATGGCAGAATTGGGGCCAGGTGGAGGCTGTGGGACTGGAGACAGAGCTACTGTGCCAACCACTCCCAGGCAGGATTTCCCTGCAGCCCCTGTGGTCCTGGAACAGCTATCACAGGCACGGGCTCTGGTTTGACTCTCATGGAGGTTTGGCTAAGCCTGTGTGGATAGGTGGGCACAAGGCCTAGAGGTCTAAATTGTTGGGAGGAAGGATGGACCAGGGATCTACGCTGAATAGAGAGGCAGAGGGCCAGAGGCATCACAGCGAGGCCCACTCCCACTTACCAGTTCCTCCGGCTGGTGCGCGCAGGGCAGCAGTGGGGAACAATACACCAGGGCTGCTAGGTCATCCTGTGAGTGGGTTTGGATCTCAGGAGCCGAGCTGCTCACCCGAGTCCTGTCCATGGCTCTGGACCCTCACCCTCCGGAACCCAGGAACATGCGTCCTATTCCCCAGGCGGGGTGCTCCCAGCAGCCCGGTACAGGCACCTTTATGATGGTAAAGAGCAGACTTTCAGGTTCACTGTCTGCCCCTCCAGGAAGAAAGCAGGTCCATTTGGAAGAAGCTTCAGTGGGCTTGGGGTTGGCCTTTGCTCCATTTCTCTCTGGCTTTGCTGCTCTTGAGGGCCTTGAGTGTGTTCCCTTGGAAAGAGGCAGAGGTGGCTTTGTTGCAGGTGGTCACTCTGAGTCACAGTGCAGGAGGCCATGAGGGATGGCTGAGGACTCTGCTCCTCATGACTGGCCCAGCTGCCACTCGATGCCCGGACCTGCGGTTGCTTGTTTGACATGGTGGAGGTAGAAAGCAAGCATTTATTTAGCTTCTCCGTGTGAGTCTTACCTAGGGATGAGATTGATTGCGAAGACCAGAAACCTAACCATATTTGGGCAAATGAATATGAGTTTATTGTGAGGACTCCCTGGAGTCCAGTTGCAGGAAGTACATTGGGTCTCTAGTGGTCAGCAGGGTCTCTTGGTTGCGCCTCCTGCTCCACATGTACCCTCTCCCTTGCTGTCTCCCCTTGTCTGCTCCTCATCCTGCTTCTCTCTGCAGACGCTCTTCCCACACTCACTCCTGCACCATGCCGCCCCTCCCGCCCTGCCCCAGTCTCGGGCGGGTCTGACCCACATGGTATTTCTGGGCTGCCCGGGAAGGAGAGACCTCTTCAGCCAACTGGGCAGAGCCCTGGGAGGCACACACTTCAGATCCAGGTCTAACAGCCTCGCCATGTAGATTTTTCCTCATTTTTATGGATGAGGAAACTGGGTCTCTGGGCTTCTTCTACCACCCACAGCAGCTTCCAGATCTTGGAACTAGAAACACCTGCGCACTCGAGGCTGGCATTAGGTGAGGACGGGCAATGCTTAGTGTAGCTTTCCCTCCTGCAGTTTGGTGACCCACCCAGCCGCCAGGCAGCCCATTTGCAGCCTAACTGGGCATGACCTGGCCCTGTGATCCTTCCCAGGTTGTGCGGTTGTGGCAGCCCCAGGTCTCCCTGGAGGGGTCCAGCCACTCCTGCTGAAAGTCACTGACTCTCCCTCTGTTTTTTCCCTCCCTGAAGCCGGGTCTTTAAGACGGACATGGAGCTGGAGGTTTTGCGCTACACCAATAGGATCTCCAGCGAGGCCCACCGGGAGGTAAGCAGGGCCCCGCTTGTCGGAACGCTGTCTGGTTGGGCTGGGCGAGCTGCATTGCTCTGTGTGGGGCCAGAGGGCGGCGTCAAGATGGACGGTCTCAGGGCAGCTGCAGTCCCGAGTGCCAGCGGAGCAGGCAGGAAATGTCGATTCAGCCAGTCTCTTTTCTGTTCCCCAGTGGAGACAGGGCAGGGACAGCAGAGGTTAAGGCACCCACCCCCAAGAATTTACCAGCAAGAAGTCCTTACGTCCTGGGGGCTGGAGCTTTCCTTCCTGGTATTCCTAAAGGCCCAGCTCCTTTCAAAGAATCTTTTGTTCTCACCCAGGGTCCAAGCACACTTATTACTGTCCTCCCGTTAACCATCCTCACAGGTCCTTTCCCAAACCTTCCCACTTTACCTGAGGATCGAGAGCAAATAAGGAAGTGACGGTCAGGGTGATGGGATAGCCTGGTGCCTGCTTGGTGACAGTCACAGCTTTGTGTCAGGAGACAGACAAGGGTCATTTGTGGGCAACAGAATCTTTTGTCTGAATTCATTTTCTCTGTTTTTTTTACATTTTACTTTTCAATTATAGTTTTCATTCATTATTATTTTGTATTAGTTTCAGGTGTACCACTTAGTGGTTAGATAGTCCTACATTTTACCAGTACCCACTGGCACCGTGCAGAGTTACTGCAATATTATTGACTGAACTCCCTATGCTGTACTTAACATTCCTGTGACTATTTTGTAAACACCGGTCTTTTCAATCCCTTCGCCTTTTCCACTCAGTCCCCGAACCCCCTCCCCTCTGGCAAATCAGTCTGTTCTCTGTATCTATGAGTCTGTTTCAGTTTTTGTTTGTTCGTTTCTTTTGTTCATTAGATTCCATATAGAAGTAAAATCATATGGTATCTGTCTTTGACTTATTTCACTGAGCATCATACCCTCTAGGTCCATCCGTGCTGTTGCATATGGTAAACTTTCATTCTTTCTAACGGATGGCCAAGTAATGTTCCACTGTAAAAATGCACCACAACTTTTTTAGCCACTCATCTATTGATGGGCACTTGGGTTGCTTCCATGTCTTGTAAATAACGCTGCAATGAACGTGGGGGCGCATATATTCTTTTAATGGCAGTTAAACAAAGGAAACCTTGTAGGTTAGTGGTCGTAGCTCTCTGAGTGTTACATGTTCACAGATGTCTTGATCAAATCTTACCTGCCATCAGCCCGCTGCAGATCTGTGCTGGGTATTGATCGGCTTCCGAGTGGAGGTGCGCCAGAGTGGTTAAATAAGCTGTGTAGCTTTTGGAGCTTTAAAAACGTTCTGATTTATCCCATTTTTGCACCATTGTGTGCACATAACGTTCTTTTCTTTTTTTGAAGAAGAGATTCTTTTGAAAAAGTGCTATCCCTTGTTTATCAGGCAGTGCCACTTCTCTCCTTAATACAAATGTCTTTGCTTAATATCCACCCTCCAGGTGATGAAAGCTGTAAAAGTGGGAATGAAAGAATATGAGCTGGAAAGGTAAGCTGCTGTGCCTCTCTGGGTAAAGATTAAAATGTAAAAACAGTAATTTATGTTCCCTGAGCAAATAGCAGATGAGGTGCCTCAGTGCCACAGCAGATTGAATGGGGACTATGAGCAGGGCTTGGGCACCGTGGGCAGAGGCCTTCTCCGACTGTGGCCACTTTGCTGGCGCTTGGTAGAGTGTTTGATGGTAATGGTCTGTGATTACTTCTGAGGCTGCTTTAGTGCCTCATCATTTCACTCCCTGGACTTTGTTTGTGCAATTTGCAGGAAACTTTACCAAAGAGCTGCTATTGTGACTCTGAAGGGCGCTGTTGAAACAGCCTGTCATTTACGTGTAAACACGGTCATTATGCCTGCTGCTAGGACAATGGGGTCTCAGGTTGGCTAAGTGGCTCATAAAGTGTTCTGAAGAGCTCCACTGGCCTTGGCCTGCCTGTGCAGTGCAGGCTTCCTGGGGCTGCCCCGCCATGTGGGTGTGGCCTGCCCAGTCCTCACCTGCTCCAGGGCCTGGGCTCAGCATGCTGCTGCCAGTGGCATGAGGAATCCCTTGGTCAGACCCAAACTGCTCCAAGGGCTCCTTCCACCCATGTCCTGGGTCACCCACCAGTGACTGTACCATCTGGAAGCTCCCCTGGGGAGAGGGAGGGAGAAGCTGCCATTCCCCCCCTACACCCATCACATAGTAGGAAGTCCACGTTTCCCCCTCTGTGACATAGTAGGAAATCCATGTTTCATTTCTGCCCCAGTTCCTGGCACAGAGCTTCTAAAACCCTAGAATTCCCCCAGTGACAGAGTCTGTTGTTCATAACTAGAGGCCCAGTGCATGAATTTGTGCATAGGTCGGGTCCAGCTGGCCCAACCCAATGGGGCTGATGGGGGCCAGGCCAGCCAGGGGGAGGGGCCACCCAGCCCCGCCCTCAATCGGGGTTGGGGGGGCTGATTGGGAGTGGGGCCGGTCAAGGGGAGGGGCCACAGGCGGTTGGGGGGTACCAATCGGGGCCTCCATTGGGCCGGTTGGCCACCGCAGTGCACATCATAGGTACTGGTTGTTTGGGTCGTTCCTTCATTCCAGTCGCTTGGCTTTTATGTAGATAAGCCCCTTTCAGCCACACCTGAGTTTATGCTAATGAAGTGCTAGTGACTGGGAGAGAGGCTGCAGATTGAGTTCTGACCAGTGATTTTTTTCAGTTGTGCCTCCGTATGGAACCTCTATAAAAACTTTGACCCACAGGGTTGGTGAGTGCAGTGGAGATGCTGGGAGGAGTGCTCCTAGAGGGCATCTAAGCGCCACACCCCTGGCCCCATACCTAGCCCTGTGCATCCGTTCCATCTGGCTCATCCTGAGTTGTAATCTTTATAAGGAAGTGGTAATAGTATATGAAGCGCTTCCCTGAGTTCTGTGAGCCGTTCTGGCAAATTATCCCAAAGAGGAGGTCATTGGAACCCCAGATTTAAAGCCAGTCAGTCAGAAGTACGAGAGGCCTGGACCTGTTATGTCTGAAGCGGGGATATTCTTGTGGGATTGAGACCTTAACTCTGGCAGTTAGCGTCAGAAGTAAGGGGTAGGACACCAGTTGGTTCCCACAGAGAATTGGAGAGTGGGTGGTTGGAAAACCCACACATTTGGTGTCAGAAGTGTTGTGAGTACAGAAAAAAGAGTATTACCTTTTACCCTCAGCCCCCGTCCCGATCCTGGACTGCCTTTCCTACCTGGCCTTAGAGCTTGGCGCTGCCTCCCCTTGCGCACCTCGCAGGGCCCAAGTCTGCCTGGGGCGCCCTCAGGGCCTGCGCTGCTCCCATGTCCCTCTCCCAGCCTTTCTGGCCTGCCCGCTTTGTCAGTGCTGGGTGAGGGCGAGGTGCAGACGGAGTCAGCGGTGGACAGCAAGGGCATTAATGGTCACCATCACATGGCTTGGGAGTAGGTGTCTTTTTCAAAGTCTAACCCTGAAAGGAGTCCTGAGCAGGGAACCTCTGGGTTTCTCTCCTCTTCCCCTGGGGGGATGGAGCAAGTGCTTCATCGGGGACCCAGGAGGATGGGGAAGGGCAGGCAGAGCGCCAGCCTTGGCCTCCCTGTGGTCTGCTACAGTGCAGTATCTGCTCAGGATTCCCAGTGTCCTCAACCCCAAGGATCTGGGGCAGGAAGAGGTCCGCCCGCTACCAGGGAAGTGGGGGGTGGGGGGGGCAGGGGTCTCTGAGATTGGCACTGTCCCAGGAATCTGGTCTCATCTTAATTGGCCTATAGTGACCCACAGCTGATGCCCCAGTGTGGAGCCCTGCCGTCCACTGCAGCTGGCCGCCGTGTGCCCTATGCTGCAGGGAGCTGAGCTCCAGAGGTGACTCTTAGGAGGGGCCTGAGCTTTCTCCCGCACCGTGTCCCAGAGCCCAACCCTGCTGCAGCCAGACAGGCCTGCATGTGAGCTCTGGGTCAGGGGCCTGTGGGAATACTTCTTCCAACTCCTTACCCTCCACCCCCTCAAGGTAATGCCAGTCTTTTTTTTTTACCTTTTAGTAGGAAACGGCAAATACTGCTGCCGCCCCCAGAATAGTGTAATGAACCTCAAAGTCCCCACCAGGACTTTTGTTTAGTTTAGTTTTGTTGGAATATTTGAGACCAAATCCCAGGTATGTCATTTCTCCTGTAAATGCATCAGTGGGCGGCTCAGTTGATGACGATATCTTTTTCCTTTACATAACCACCTTGTCATTATCACATCTAACTACGTTAGCAGTAGATCCTCAATATTACGAATATCTAGTCCGTATTGGGCCAAAACTATCTTTTTTTAGTTGGTTTGTTCAAGTCAGGATCCTAAGTCTGTGAGTTGCATTTGGCTGTTGTTTGAAGGTTGGCTGTTGTTTGAAGGAGGGTCCCTTTTAAGGCCAAGCCCTGGGAGAATACTTTGTCTTCAAACCGCTCAGCCTCTACCCCCTCCCCCATTCCTGGACTCAACTCACTGCTGCTGCCTCTGGATCCAGGGCAGCTTTCAGAGAAATGAGATCGTGGCCAAAAGCAGCTGCCCTGAGGTGCTGCGAGGCATTAATTCAGCCCGATGTGCCAGGTGTGTGCACCGAGGGGCACCTGCTGTGCCTGTGCCCAGCTGTGGCCGGTCATGGGAGACACAGAGGGGAAGCGGTGCCTGCCCTCCGAGCCACGATCTGAGGGTCCCTGAGAGCTGAGAGCAGGGGGCTCCCGGGGTAGAGGGTGATGGAGTTGGGGACTGCTCTGGGGAAAAGCTGAAGTAGAGATGATAAGAGCAAGAGACAGGCTGTTCCTGAAGGACAGGTGGGTGGGGTGACCTTTTCAGACAGGGTGTCACCCCCTGAAGATGGTAGGTTGTGCTGGGACATTGTCACATCCTGGGGTGTCCCTGGCCCTGTGCGGTGGCACATTGCTCTGTCGCTGCCGAGTGCTGGGTCAGTTTTGTGGTCTCTGTCCTTGGGAGCCTGGAGGCTGCTTCTTGGAGGCTCCACCTCATTTCCCTGCAGTGTCTGCCCCACAACTGGTGGCAGGACACACATGTGCGTGGGTTGGATGGATGGACAAGAGAAAGAATAAAATGTCCTGAGCTAGTTTCCTGCTGTCGTCTGTGCCCCTGTGAACGCGCCTTTTCTTGACCAGGTGAAGAATATAAAACCTCATCCGAAGCGCTAGTTCCCCACGGGGTGCGGCCCTTTGAGCGCAGGCTGCACTGATCCCTGGGTTAGAAGAGTGTGCCTAGAACCTGCTGGACATTCTCCCGGGGGCATGGCCACCCCAGCCCCAGAGCGGGGCACCGGGCAAGAAGGGCAGGGACTCCTGCGGGTCGGGACTGGAGCGAGGGTGGGGGTCGGGGAAGGCGGGCAGGAGACGGGCTGGCGTTCCCCACAGTGGGCACACCGCCACCGGCACAGGGTGTTCAGACTCACTCAGACATGCTGGCTACCAGGAGATCACTTCTAAGATTTACGCTTTTAAAAATTTTATTACTGAAAGTTTGTTATAAAATCTTGAGGGCATGTTAAAAAAAAAGAGTGAGCTGATGGCAGTTATTAAGACACCTCCTCCTTCGTGCTGTGCCTGTGAGTGGGGTTTCAGAGGGAATGAAAATCACTTTCCACAGTTGAGGTGCAGTAAATTGTGTTAAACCAATAAGACATTAATGTTTGGGTAAATCGGGCGCTAACAGCATCTGACTGCAGGCCCAATCAGGCAGGCCATTCTGCCGCTCATATTATTTAATGTTAGTGGCGTAACCAGCTTGTAGCCGGCTGGCATGGGGCTGGCAGCTGAATCAATTACCTGCAAACACTAATTTAGAGCATGCTCAATTGGCTGTGTAAGCAGGTCCCGGTTCACATTTGCCACAAGGAGATTAATAACTTGATGTTTTTGACAGCCTGGGACCTTAATTGAAATTACGCTCCTTCTCTCCAAGCTGTGAATGGGGCATTTCGGCCCTTCCCTGACAGCTCCTATGGGGATTGTGTGAGTCGTTTGAAAGGCAGAGGGACTGTGAGGTGTGCTGGGGACAGCATGGCATTGTCCTCCTCCCCGAGCTGGGATCCTTCTTGGCAAACACCCCAGGCCCATCTGGAGACCATCGCATGGCCTGGCCTTGGCTCTGTTCCGGCCCAGGCAGCAGCCCACGGGACGCCTCCCGCTGCCTTTCAGTCCGTTAATGAAGAACTTGCCCAGCTGTGCTCCTGGGGGATCAAAGTCTCCTTGCCTTTTCCTGCCCTTTGGTCCGATGGAGCGAGTCATGATTCTGTGTGTTCTTGTGCCCGCTGGACCCTGATTGGGGGTGGGGTATAGAGACCCAGCCTGGGGGTTTCTTCCAACAAAGACCACTGCTAGACACACCACACACACACCTCTCACCCATACCACATGTTATAAACATTACCCACACAGACACATGCACACCCCACACACACCACATACACTCATTCGCCATACATATTCACACACACCACTCACATACCCCTCACACACTACACATACATTTACACACAAC